TATATATGTATTCTATACCATCTAAATTTCTATAAATATTAAACCCAATGCAATACAACAAATAAAATATAAATTTTTTATAAGAAAATTAAATATGCAAAAGTTTTTATGGTCGCATGTCTCTAAGACCTCCAATTGGTGATGCCGGAGGTGGTACTCTTCGACTAAATCGATAAGCCCTAAATAAATAATTTCTCAAGGTTGCTTGTTCTATCTCAAATATTTAAGTCTTATTTTTTAGATTTTAATGTGCAATATCTAGCACAAAATCTTCATAATCATATAATAGACACGTATATATGTATGTAATATGCATTTCTTATACTTCTAAAAAAAATGTTCAACCTCACAAAATTGCTCGTTAAACTTGAACAACTCATTGAATTTGAAGTCATCTTACCCGACTTCATACATCTTGCAACACAGCTAATACCTAGTGGTATCATTAATTTATTTTCAATATCACTCATAATCTTATTTTAATAATTTAATGTTGGCGCTTTCTGTTACCACATATATCGAAACCTAAACAAAATTAATTAATTTTCTTTTCAAGAATATCACTTATAAAATAGTCATAAAATAGTAATTCCCAAAAGAAAAATGAGTCTAAGAGCCAATGCAACAGCTGAACTCTACATATTCTTAATGAAAATGAGAATTGAAGAAGCAATATGAATGGCTAGAGGATAAAGGAAGAAACTTGCAGGTAGAAAAGCCATTGCAACGGTAGGAATTCTTTATTCTTTATAAATACTCTCTCCGTTTCAATTTACAAATTGTAAAGGTCCATAAATATAGAATATGAAAGGTTGAAACCACAACAACTATTCTATTTACATTTATGGATAATAAGCCAAAAATATTTTGGTACCCGAATTTTTTATATAACATTTACATCTATAAATAATAACCTTTTTTTTCTAAAGAAATGTGTACTCTTTAGTTTTACAACATTTTACTAAATTAGAAATTTACAAAACTTGAGAAACCTATTGCACTGGATAGAAAAAGCAAAGAAGCACATGTAAATTACTCTTTTACGTCACTACATAATTACAACATATTTTTTGCTTCTCCCTTCCCGTGGAGAAATTCAAAAGGAATTATCGAATTACTTGCCACAACTATAAAGTAAATTATCCAATTATTTTAAAGAAAAATACTGACATACCTGGTATTATTCTACCAATTTCTGGCTAATCATAGTCTCTTGTTCTCCATTTTTATTTTCACTCTTAGAGAGGGAAGTAAAACAAAGAAAGGCTGAAGCTACTATATCCAAATTGAAACGCAATTGAAGAAATCAAACATGAATATAAACATTGCACAAACTATTATTTCAGATGATATCAAGTAAAACAAATGAAGTTACAAAATAATATAGGAATAGAATTAGATTTCTGGGAGGGCAAAATACCTTTATTGCAACAGTCCTTGAGCATTGGAATTATTTTTGAGTTATGGGAAAAAAGCTAATGCACAGAAAGAAAACAGAAAGATTTAAAGGAAAGAAATAAATAGTAATAATTATGAGATTTAAGTGAAGGGTAAAGTGTAACGGAAGAAAGGTATAGAAACGTTATTGGAAAATAGATGAATAGTATATTAATGATGAAAAAAGTAAATAAAGCATACTTAATTGTTAGCAAATTTTAAATGCAAAAATAAGGAAAAGGGTGCAAAATCTAAGAAAAAAGATAAATGTGATCCTTGGCCAAAAAAAATATGCCACATCATCTTTCATTTTCCCAACTTTATTATATATATAGATCAAAGAGAATTATTCTTAATTAGCGGCGGACAGCCTCATCAACTAGAGTCTCACCACACCTTTTGTCTAGACCAAAGTACGAGCTCCAAGTGCTGAAATGTTTTTATGTAAGACACTAAATTTATTTCAAGTATTTTAATATTCTACTTCTAGCAAGAGCTTTTGTGTTTGTATCTAACAAATATATACAAGTCCTACTATGGAACTAGGGGTGTACAAAGGAAACCGACAAATCGCACCAATCCGATAATTCGAATCAAACCGAGAAAACAAATCAGACTATGATTTGGTTTGATTTGGTTTGGTGTTGGAGAAAAAAACTCCACCATAATTGGTTTGCTTTGGTTTTAACTAAAGAAAGTCAAACCGAAACCAAACCAACCCGACATTACATATATAGAAATTTTAGATATATTTAATATATAAATATTCTTATTGTGATGTAATTTATAAATATTTCTTAAACTTTTTCATAATTTTATCTTTTAAGGTATTATTTCAAGGTTGGACTTAGAACTTTTGAATGTTCCAATAAGTTTTATAGCCATTAATATTAGTAACTTAATAATACTAACAAAAGCCCAAACCAAAATCAAATCAATACTAATGCTAGCAAAAGACATTCAATTCAGTACTACAAACGGCAATGTATTGAATATCTATTTTTTGTTTTGCAATAATTTAAAATAAAAATGCATAATCTCTTTTTATTTTTTCTTTAGCGTTTAGTCATGTAATTAATACTCTCTTATTAATCTACTTATTTTAGCATGACTTAGTACTTTCAGATTATGTTTATTTTTATTATGGCTTTTTAATTAGCAACTAGTAGTGGTACCCGCGCGATGCGCGGTAAACATTAAAAAATATTAAGCCCAATTAGAATAAATATTCCCGAATAATATTTTTTTTCGAATTTTTTTACTTTTTTCAGAATAAATGTTGATTTTGTATTTTATTAAAAATACTGGAAAAATAAAATTTCCGAAAAAATAAGTTTCACATATGGATTGCTTAGGTGGACGACCACGTAAGCAATTCTAACCCAGTTGAACTGCCATGTCAACTTCAATGGCAAAACTAATGGTTTAGGGGCATTTTTGGGCCAAAATATAGACGGCAAGGATATTTTAGGCACAAAAAACAAACGAAGGATATTTTTGAGCTATTTTGAATAGTTCAAGGGTATTTTTGGACCTTTTTCGTTTCAATTATAAAGAAGAGGGATACCTACATCTCAGTCAAGGATATGATATACTCTGATCAAAATGACACCATATTGACTAAATTATGAATAAAGGAAAACAAGAAAAAGGGAGAGAAAAAGAAATAAAAAGATATACACCATAATATATATGAATAAGTTATGCAACCGAAAGTCATAAGTTTTATTTTATTTAATGAATAAAATCTATATATAGATAACTAATTATGCAATGTGGCTTTTTTTTTAGGCTGCCATTTGGCTTAATGAGATGGCTTTGTCCTCTCCTTTGGCCTGCATATATATTTAAATTCAAAAATAATAACCAATAACTAATTATTAATTAAAAATAACTACCAATTTGAATGGGTAGTTATTTTCTTATATATTTATATTTTCATTTTTTATTATATTTAATTATAATTGGTTTATTTTAATTATTTTAAAACTCCAACTTGAAACTATTCCCCGATTTGAATGGGTAGTTTTTCTTCCGTTTTTTATAGCTTTATTTTTTTTTTGCTTTTTGATTTTAAAATAATTTAAAAATTCCAACTTGAAACTACTCCCACCCAATTTGAATGGGTAGTTATTTTTTTATATATATTTTTTATTTTTTTTTATTATAGTTAATTATTAATTATTAATATAGATATAGATAAGAAATCTATATTTATTAATTAAATTAAAGTAACCAATATATATATATATATATATATATATATATATATATATATATACACACACACACACACACATATACATATATATGGTAGTTTTTTTAATTATTTTCATTTTTTAGATATATTTAAGTTAAAAAGAATAATCAATAACTAATTTAATAACTAATTATGCCATGTGTCATTCTATTGTTCTGCCATTTGGCTTCATGATGTGCTTTTGTCTTCTGCTTTTAATTATAGATAGATTATCTAAATTTTAATGAATAAAATCTATATATAGATAACTAATTATGCAATGTGGCTTTTTTTTAGGCTGCTACTTGGCTTAAGCAGATGACTTTGTCCTCTCCTTTGGCCTGTATATATATTTAAATTCAAAAATAATAACCAATAACTAATTATTAATTAAAAATAACTACCAATTTGAATGGGCAGTTATTTTCTTATATATTTATATTTTCGTTTTTTTATTACATTTAATTATAATTGGTTTATTTTAATTATTTTAAAACTCCAACTTGAAACTATTCCCCGATTTGAATGGGTAGTTTTTCTTCTGTATTTTTCCGTTTTTTATAGCTTTATTATTTTTTTGCTTTTTGCTTTTTAAATAATTTAAAAATTCCAACTTGAAACTACTCCCACCCAATTTGAATGGGTAGTTATTTTTTTATATATTTTTTTTTATTTTTTTATTATAGTTAATTATTAATTATTAATATAGATATAGATAAGAATCTATATTTATTAATTAAATTAAAGTAACCAATATATATATATATATATATATATATATATATATATGGTAGTTTTTTTAATTATTTTCATTTTTAGATATATTTAAATTAAAAAGAATAATCAATAACTAATTTAATAACTAATTATGCCATGTGTCATTCTATTGTTCTGCCATTTGGCTTCATGAGGTGCTTTTGTCTTTTGCTTTTAATTATAGATAGATATTTATATTACATAATTTTATTATTTTTATTGTTGAATATTTTAGGATAATACTAAGAGACATCTCATATTTTGCATTAGTTCTTGAAAAATACCTTATATAGTTGTATTTTACTAGGATTAAAGAAATATTTTTAGCACAAGTTATATGTTTTGTGCTACGAAGATTTTACCGGAAAAAAACCTGAAAAAACCGGAAAAACCCGAGATTGAAAACCTCGAGTTTTATTGGTTTGGTTTGGTCTTTAGATTTAATAATCCGACACAATTGGTTTGATTTGATAATTGTAAAATCGGAACCAACCCGACCTACGTACACCCCTACGTGGACCATGTTATATGTTAACCCGCATAATACAAGAAGGAAGTTAAACACCATACAAATAGTCATCACAACAATTAATTAATGTAGAAAGTTTCAAAAAGATGAATGAAAAGTCAATAATTTACAAATTAGGAATACCCTCAGAATTAGAAACCAACATCATGTTCTTGAACTCCTCATAATCAAGAACTCCATCAAGGTTAGTATCATACATATGAATCATGCTCTTACAATCACTTCCTTCTTTCTCATCCCACAACCCTAATCTTGACAACACTTTTTGAAGCTCCTCACAACAAATAAAACCATCTCCATTCAAATCAAACACCTTGAATGCTTCAACAATATCATCTTCCAAATTATTGTCCTCTTTTCTCTTTTCATCCCCATTATTTTTCTTCACCATCGCCTCGTAAAAGAGGGAGAAGTCAATGATGTTTAGGCTCGTTTTTCCTACCAAAGATTGGAGCTCGTCAAGATCCGTACAAGCTCCAATCTTATCAAGTAGGCCTTTCAGTTCACCTAACCTCACTAATCCATCACCATCTTCATCAAGCTTGTCGAAAATCCTTTGGATATGTTTTTCATTTAACGTAGACATACTAACACGAAGATTAAAGACTTTGAGGAACTGTAGACGAGAAAAAGAGAACAACAACAACAACAACAATCAGCACTCTATTGCTTCAATTTCTAGTTTCGCAAATTAAGTGACAAGTGTTTATGAAGAGGGATAAAACCCCTATTTATAATACTAACAAAATCAAATTTGAGTGAAAACATAAAACGTCATTTTGACAAACACGTGAGTTAAATAAACTAATAAAATTCAAATCCTAATATACTCTCGGTATAATTCCTATAAACATAGGAGTTGAAGGGAACTTACATTGTCCTTTGCTTGGAAGTGTAAAATGAAGCTTCTACGTAGAAAGAATGATGAGAAGACCACAACGAAGATATTCTATGGTTTGTTCTTTTTTATCCAATGGGGAAAGGAGAATTTTATTCCCTGAATTGGAATTTTCCTTTCTCCTCTTTTGGTAGATTCTACTAACTAAGAATGTTGTTATGTCTTTATATAGAGTGGAATCAAACATTTAGAAACGGACCAAATCTCGGTCCCCTACTGTACTGGGAACCTACTAACTATATTTATAGAGTTATTTTAATACTTTGTCAATTTGTGCAAATTAAAAGAAAAGTATTAAGTAATAGTAGAAGGAAAAGACGTGCAAAGCGTGAATAAATAAGTCAACGTTGATCAACTCTAGGAAAAGAGTTTGCGGCTATCAGGGGGAATGGAACGATTCTACAATAAGATTGACTTAATTCGATGTGAAACTTAATGGAAATTGAGAATGATGAGGACTTGTTGAAAGGGTAATCATATTTTGATTTTCTCCCAAAAGGCAAAATTTTTAGGGGTTGCAAAGTAGCTCACTTGATAAGCTTCCTGCCTTCAGTAGCGTCAAAAAATTAGTTAAATTTTTCATCTTCGTTAAATCCCAAGAATTCTAACGCCTAGGTCTTGTATTTATTTGAAAAAAATATTACAAGAGTAATTTTACTCTTCTAAAACTTCTTGCATCGTCTCAAAAACAAGTTTTCCTCCTAGGTTGACTAGCCATGTTTATCTCGAAAATACGAGTAACAATTAAATTTGATTTGTGGTTTTAAAGATATGTGATTTAGTTCAATACCAATTAATAATAAAAAAATATGAAGTATGAATGAAGGAAATAAGTAAGACCAAACCAGTAGATAGGTCAGTTTCACCTCGAGCCCAGTGACCTCGAGACAGGCTATAGCAATAAAGTAAAAATAATAAAGCTAAAGGATAATTCTGATGAACAATGAGTGAAAAAGTAAGATAGTATATTCTTTGCCAATGATTGGATGGGTCTTACAAATGATTGGGGTCCCTTTTATATAATAGGGGAAACCCTAAATAAGGTACATTTCCATTTACAACAAAGAATCTTATTGGGACAGCTGTATAACCGCCTAGTAGGTACGGGTTTGTACTGATTCGTACAAATCTATTCCGAAATTTATGCCACGATCTTAGGAACGTGGCGGGAATCTTGTCCTTATGTACCAAACTCATAGTGGCACTGTCTCGTAGCTAGTTGTACTTGACTCTGATGTTCCTTGCGCACTTTGATCCTCGGACATTGCATTCTGTCTACGAGCTCGAGTCTAGTCCATCGAGCTCTAACTCGACCTTACCTGAACTCGGGCTTGAGGCGATCCTCGAGCCCGAAAAATCGGGCATACCTGATTTCGATCGTATACAGATAGTCCCAGCATTTTTTAGAATAAAATGATAAGAAACGATTTGATTCTCAGCCCTTTGATATCTCGATCATGATGCCAATCTTGTGATGTCAACGACTGTAGTGATTGAAAGGTCGCGTCTGCACAGTTTCCAAGGTCATTAATTAGAGACGGCTGACGGTTGGCTATTTGGCTTCCCCAATACACTTAAGTGACCTCTATAGACAGGCCAACTTCACAATTTTGCAAACTTTACTTCTCAAACCGTTCTCAAAATCTCATTAGCTTCCTTCAACTTCCCTAAGTTCCCCCTTCTCTCAATTTGTTCGTACTTCATCATCACATTTTTCTCTTCTCTTGAATATCTAAACCATAATAGCTAAAACATCTAAAACTGTTCCCCAAAAAGAAAAAAGCCTCTTCGTCATCACGGCCGGTCAGAAGTAAAACGGTGGTGCCACATCATATCGAGAAGTGTATTCCCCCGTCGTGCGAAATAACATCCGATTTCAAGATTGATAAACTTGCATCGACACCAGGCCAAAGTGAGCCCTTGTCCCGATATATCTTCTTGATAACCGAAAGTGAGCTCGGGCAGGTGAAAAAGGACTGCAACTGGGATAACAAAGATGTGGTGATCCCTTCTCCTGAAGAGGACATCACCACTCATAAGGCAGGATACTTACGCGTGTACACCTACCCATTCACGTCGGGTCTTGCAGATCCATCTCTAGGTCCCACAGATCCAGTTATTCTTGATTTTTGCCAACAATACTAGTGACGCTTGGCCAGATCTATCCTTCATTCCGGTGCATCGTCAATCTGATCAGATACTTCTGGAGCCAGGTTGAGGAGATGCCTTTTACCCTCGATCATCTGATCAGGTTATACAGTTCTCATCTTTATCGAGGTGGCCTGATAAAGCTGCAACACCGATCCACGAAATCTTTCTTCTCCAGCATCGATGAGGACAAGGACCGAGGATGGATGAGCCCGTTTATCTGAATCAGGACCTCCGACCTGATTCCTACTAAGAGGATTCCATTCCCCGAGGAATGGAACATGAAACGTAAGTACAGGTTCATCGATGGTGACTTTATATTCTGCTTTTCCTACTCTTTCTCGACCTAATCCTTTTTCGATGGTGCAGCTGCTGCTTGATTTCCCGGTGCGGTCCTAGACCTCGAGGGTTGGGTTCGAAAACTGGCCTCTACTTCTTTACACGTAGAGCGCAACTGGCGTGACTTGGCCAAAGGTCGATGGGAGTCTAAAAACCATGCAAAGTCTTCTTGTTTGCATACTTATGTTTCTCAGCGAAATACTTACTTTATCTCTATGCAGGCCTCAGAGACGTCGTTGCTATGAGGCCGCCCCCGCCCGGTGAAGAAGAGATCCCAAAGCCTTCCAAGGAAAAGAAAAAAAAAGAGGGGGTCGCCTGCAAATTCCCTGAAGCCAAAGAAAAGCAAGGCTCGAAAGCCTAAGGCCGATACTGTGGTCCTGTCTCCAGAAATGGCCCAACGTCTTCGAGATGAGGATGAAGAGGGGGAAGATGACGACTGCGTGTTAGTAGTTCGGAAAAGAGGAAGCACTGACGCTTCGAAGACCGCTGAACCGATATACTTATTCCTCCAGTCCCAAGTCAAACTTATTGAATTTACTCGGCATGACCCTCTTCAACCATAGACCTCGATAACAGGACGAAAGTCCCCGGGACAATATCATCTTCTTCAACCGAGGATCCCAAATTAGCAAGTGCATCTACCTCACTATTTTGTTCTCGAGGCACATGATCTAGTGTCCATTCCTTGAAGCGATGCAATATTACCTGTAGTTTGTCTAAGTATCTCTGCATTCTATCCTCTCGAACCTCGAAGCTCTTGTTTACTTGGTTCACCACCAATAGGGAGTCACATTTGGCTTCGATGACTTCTGCCCCAAGCTCTTAGCTAGCTCGAGACCTGCAATCATGGCCTCATATTCGGCCTTATTGCTGGTTAATCTAAAATTTTTAAAAGATTGCCTCATAGTTTTTCCTGTGGGTGGCTTTAAAACAATGCCGAGCCCGGACCCTTTCACATTCGAGGCACCGTTCGTGAAAAGGGTCCATACCCCTGATGATGCACCCCCAATCCTAGCAGAAGTTCTTTTTCTATTTCGGGTACGAGGGTCGGCGTAAAATCGGCCACGAAGTCAGCCAAGATTTGGGACTTGATAGCCGTTCGGGTTTGGTATTCGATATCGTACCCGCCAATTTTGACTGCCCACTTAGCTAATTGACTCGACAATTTGGGCTTATGCAAAATATTTCAGAGAGGATAAGTGGTTAATACACATATGAGATGACATTGAAAATATGGCTTTAACTTTCTAGATGCGCTTATTAATGCAAGTGCTAATTTTTCTAAGTAAGGGTATCTAGTTTCAGCATCTCCCAGAGTTCGACTTACATAATAAATAGGAAATTGCGTACCTTGCTCTTCTCGAACTAGTACTCCACTTACCGCGACCTCGGACACTGCCAAATATAAGTAAAGCTTTTCATCTACCTTCGGAGTGTGAAGCAAGGTGGGCTCGATAAGTATCACTTCAATTCTTCTAAGGCTTGCTGGCATTCCAGGGTCCATGTGAAGTCCTTTTTCTTTTTGAGAAAGGAAAAGAACCTATAACTTCGATCTGACGACCTCGAAATAAATCGAACCAAGGCGGACATTCGTCTTGTTAGTCTTTGCATGGCTTTTACACTATCCACGATGGTGATATCTTCGATGGCCTTGATCTTATCGGAGTTGATCTCAATTCCTTGATTAGATACCATGAAGCCAAGGAACTTGCCCGAGCCAACTCCGAAGGCATATTTTTCCAGGTTGAGCTTCATGTTGTACTTCCTCAAGATTTTGAATGTTTCCTGCAAATGAGTTAAATGATCCTCTGCGCGTAGGGACTTGACTAACATATCGTCAATGTAACCTTCCATCGTTTTACCTATCTGTTCCTCGAATATCTTGTTAACTAGGCGTTGATATGTGGCTCCAGCATTTTTTAGCCCGAAGGGCATTACATTGTAACCGTATGTTCCAAACTTAGTGATAAACGAGGTCTTCTCCTAGTCCTCCGGGTTCATTTGAATTTGATTATACCCGGAGTAGGCATCTAGAAAGATTAGGATCTCGTGGTCGGCCGTGGCATCGATCATGCGATCGATATTAGGAAATGGAAAAGAGTCTTTATGGCATGCCTTGCTTAAATCTTTATAATCTACGCACATTCTAAGTTTGTTTCCCTTTTTAGGGACTACGACCATGTTGGCTAACCATTCAGGGTATTTTACTTCCCGAATAGACCCTATTTTAAGAAGTTTAGTTACCTCGTCCTTTACGAATGCATGCTTCACCTCGGACTGGGGCCTTCTCTTTTGCTTCACTAGTTTGAACCTGGGGTCGATGCATAGCCGGTATGTTGTAATTCATGGTGGGATCCCTATCATATCTAGATGGGACCAAGCAAAATAATCCATATTATCGATAAGAAATTGAATGAATTTTTTCCTGAGTTTGGGGGTTAACCCCGTTCACAGATATACCTTTTTCTCGGGCATGTGCTCGATCAGTATGACCTGTTCCAGTTCCTCGACTGTTGATTTGGTTGCATCTGACTCTTCGGGAACAACGAAGGTTCGAGGAGTAAGGAAATCTTCCTCTTACTCTTCGGTTACCTGTTCCTCCAGCTCGATCGGGACTAGGAT